GTGCAACACAGGAATGTGTGACCTTTGCACTCGGTTGTGATCACTGACTGAATCATAGAGCACCATCTCAAAACTGAATATTCGTGGTGTATTTTAAGTCTAACCATACCGGAAGTGGGAATTTGGTAGTACTCTAAATATCTAAACATATTTTAGTATAAGGTAGTAATAAATGTGCACAAGACACTTCTGTGAGCAATTGAAATGTACCGTACATGTTTCATTCATTACCTCCCATAACACCTCGTAATTGAGGAGATGGGGGGTTGGGGGGGGGAAATATAAAATATAAAAAGCCAAATAACGTAATCAACAAATGAGTATTTTGTACTGGGTAAGTTCACACATACATGAACAATATTACCCAAACTATACAGGTAAACTACACAAATATAAGCAAAATGAAAAAAAAATGATATTTTTAATATCAAAAACTAGCACGTTCGGCACACACGTACAGAAGACAACATGTTTAAGATGTGAATCTAGTAAATAACACAGAATACGTGGCAATGTATTACCCTGGTATATACGTTATATACAAGCATATCATTGGCCCTCAATAGTACGTTAAATCAATGTAAAACATGTTCTGTATGCATCATATCTGGCTTGCTGTGCATCTTGGATCGGCATGGATGGATTTCATGGTAATTGCACGTACTCTATTTTGGGGATGCTTGGTGGCCGAGGGAAAGATGTGCAGTGATGTGCAGCTAGGCGGTATGGGTGTGTAATCGTTGGTTCAAGTCACACATACAGCACAATTGTTTACTAAATGAACTTTACACCTTGCCGTGTAAATTGGTGCTATTTACTTAAATTACATATTAGCAGCTACTACGAGTTTTCTTGTTCTAACCAGCATGTAGACTCAATTTTATATGATTTTCCTTACAATAGATGTAATTAGCATAACACTATCTTCAGTTGTGTTCTTGAAAGTTCAAGCACGTTGGTACTGTGTGGGGAGAACACTTGTTTTGAAAGCAAATTACCTTCAGAAAGTAACCTTCAATTGTGAACTATAACCAAAACCCTAAAATCATCGTGGAAACAAACAAAAAAGATGGCTTTATTGACTGGCAGTTATTAGAGCTTATTAGTCAATTAGCTTATAGTAACCCCTTCCCCCTGCGCACACACGCACACATGTGCATGCATACCACCACCGAACACAGCAACCATATGCTACATGCCAAGCTGAAATGAAAATAAAAACAGTACAGTCAAACATCTAGTAGATTGAGGTCAAATGTTAGATTACTTGATTTAGGTACGACTAAAACTATAGTCTCAAGATCTCAAATTTCTTACAAATAATGTGTGAATACTGGTAATCCTTTGCATGCCATAATTTTTCTTGGAAACATTTGGTGCAATATTTTGCATGCTTTATGCATTTTTCTATGTTTATTTTGATAATTTTAGACAAAATGACATAATTTTATATTGGCTATAAGTCTGGATCAAAATTTTGGAAAAATTATCAAAAACTTATGTGGGTTTCAAATTTCTGAATAGTAACAAAAATTGACATTGGCCCTCACAGGGTTAAGTTCTTTTAGTTTCTCTTGAAATTGGTTAAAGTGCAACGTCGATTCAAATATACAATAAAATGGCTGCTCGTTTGAGATTTTTAAAACAAAAACAGAAATTTCCGTTAGTAAGCTGTTCATAAGTTTGAATAAAATTGACCCACCAATGCATTAGCAAATGGCCACCAGGAAATTTAATTTTCATTGAAAGAAAAAAAACGTATCCATTATATAACGTTAGGTTCCGCAGTGTGTCTTAAACTGACATGTTCTATCTGAATCGATCACCTGTGTGTCAGGGCTCAGAATTCACAGTAACATAAGGCCACCAAACCTGTCTTGAGGCTACCATTTTTCAAAATTAGTAGCCTGACTGGACTACTAGAATTTTGTTTAAGGCTGTCCAACACAAACCGAGCAAAATAAAATTTATTTATATTGACACTTTATGACTGGTTGTACACGCCTATTAAGCCTGTATTACTATAGAACTACCAGATTTCAAAATTGGTAGCACTAGCAGACTTATTTTGAGCTGTGTGTGTAATGATAAGCAGATTTTGGCTTAAATACCACACTGCCACCTTATACATGGAACTAGAAACTTATTTCAACAAAATAAGTTCCTTTCAAACACATAAGTCTTTGGAACAGCAGTAACTAACACATAATAAGACTAATAAAATGTGTTTATGGAGTTTGGAATATCATGTGCATTTCCAGGTTTCTATTAGTTTTGAGTAGAACTTCTTTGAATGCAATAGAATCACATGTAAGACATTCGGATCAAGGAACTAGCAGCAGAAACTGTTTGCCGATTACACAATTTTAGAGCCAGTTTATTACCACAATGCTCCCAAGTTTCATTGATAACAGTTTAGTAAAATGCATGTAGATATAAATGAAATGGTTTAATTTGTCTGTAAAATATATAACAATAACAGGAATGTCGTTGCTTCCACCTACTTTCCACAATCCGAACAAACTCCCAACAATTCTAGTGCGATATGCATCAGATCGGTGGACACCAAAATTCAACGTCAATTCCCTGTCTTTGAACCTTGAACAAAATGGTTCCACGCATATCCGAAAATTGATTGACGTTAGATGGACACAACTGAAAACTTAAATCTCTAAATGGGGAATTATTATTAATATGCTCCTGTATTGTTAATCATGCTATGACAACAACTACATTGTATGCAAAGCAAAGCAGAACATGTAACAAGTTCCCTCCCTCCCTCTTAACAAGTCCCTGTTGGCAGCAATCACGGGGTCTAATCACAGTATAGAGTAGCATAATCACATTTAAAAAGAAGAAGATTCAACACAGAATTTTTGAAATCTGTTCGATCAGCTCTTTTACTATTCCTATACCAAAACAGGTGAAGTATGTATGTTTACTAATTTTATAAAGTAATCAAGGATTGTACTCTTTGCTACGAACACAGCTTATTTTGGATTTATGATTATTGATCTCACTGAAGATGTATAGTTAAATCTGACATCACAAAAGCAAACATGGCTAAAATATTCTGACTTTTTATTTGTTTTAGCTTCTACATTTAATAATTAATTTTTACCTGCAGCAGAAAAAAAAAGAATCTGTGATTCCACTGGCTAATCAAATATTGAGTAGGAAGATAGGGGTTTTATGTAATTTACTATATGGGGGCAGCCATCTTGTATATGGCTTGAGACAAGTTGAGAAACAGGTTTTCTCAGTTTTCTTCAAATCAGAGAAAAAATACAAAACTTTCATAGCCAAACGATTCGTTGGGATAACATTAAGCCAATCACTAATCGTCATCCTTTGCATACGAACACCTAAATGTACACAAAGACCTAAAGTACTGCCTCATTATCATTTAATAACAGGGCTGCACATGGCGCTGATCAACCAATGAGAATGTAGGGTTTAAATGATGGGAAGCGAACGGTAATATAAAAATGGATGATAACAGGGCAAGAATGGTGATATGTGCAGTAATGTGCAAGATATGTTCAAGCCCATTATTTAAGTGAACATCACCGTCCTAGCCTGAAAAGAAAGTAATGAACACAGTGGTTAGCTCCTCAATGACGCTTGTATTTCAGTTACGCTTAGAAGTTCACGGGCTAACGACAAGCAAACAACAGCACATAGGTAAATTTTCAGATGAAAATGCCTAAGATATCTTAGTCTAAACAAATAATTGTAGGACAACAATGAATGTTTATATAAGAGTCGCGCAAAATATTTTTCGCATGTTTGTGGAAACATTGACCCAAACATAGCCTGTTTATCATCTGATAACATGGCTGCACGTGGTACCATTCGACCAATGAGAACGCAACATTTCAATAACGAGCAGCGCACAGTATTATAATATGATATCAGAGGTTGCACTAGTCTTAATGTGAAGCATCGCTCATTCTGCACTAAAACTAGAAACAATACCGCTTCATTAGTTTGTGTTTGGTTATATCTTTGGAGATAATGAGGCAAACTTATCGAGAAAATGACTGAAATAACTGTTATGTATGCAGCACGACTCCAAAAATTATAATCTCCTTGACCATAGATAGCACGGGATGAGACATCATATGGGATCATTGGCAGCACAGTGGTTGTACTGATGATGGGTACACACACCCATGTTCAAATGCTACTAGAGTTGAACTATAAAAATGGGTCAACGCCATGCTGGGTAATTCAGTGTGCCACAAAAGTGACAGACAGAGATTCATTCACTCATGGATGTGACTCCGGCAAACCTTCGTTAAGGTCTACAGGTGCTTGTTCCATGACCGCATTTACAAAATGCTGGGATAGCGCATTAATATGCTATGTACATGTGAAATTGTTTTAATAAACATGGAATATGGTTACTGTCGCAAAATTCACAGTAGATGTTCAGTACCGTACTTGCAATTTTAATTAAAAAAAACACACGGCTACATTTAATGTTAGGAACAGACGCCTTGAAAAACAAAATAATTAAAAACAAAACAAAATAGAAAACCTTTTTTAAGCCCGATTATATATGTTTTAAAATTATTCAAATTAATTGTCTTCCCCTTATTTTGGAAATTTAAGTTCTATAAAAAGAACTGCAACTTGCATGAAATCTCGGTGACCCATGACCTTTACGTAAAAATGTATATCTTGTACTTCCTCGTCGTTTCTACATATTAAATCCGGGAAATATACAGTCTCCAACGTCTTTAATAGTTATTTATTTATAAATACTCTGCATTTATGCTAATGATGTACGTAAACAAAGTCTTGTGTACGGTAAAGATATGACAATCACCCCTCTTAGCCTTAGAGACAGCTAGGACATGTTTAGTTGAAAATGTTCACGTTGTTATCGGGTTGTTGACGTGTGGCATCGCCAAGGACACGTCTCAACCAAATACCGAGTGCTGTCTGTGATATTTTTAGGAGTGTCGTGAACGACAGCCATTATTTATACTTACCAACTGAAACTCGTTCCTTCGATCAAAAGCGTCCTGGATTCCTTTATCTGCCCACAGCGCTTTCACGCTCTCCACATAATCGGCGAATAAGACGGTATTCAGTTTAATACTACTTTCGTACGACATTATTTTATCGCCATGTTTCTCGTTTTCTGCCTCACCCCACGGTATACGCAGTTTGTCTCGGGCATCTACAAGTACTTTTGAGCCTTTCACAATGTTGCTGTAAATTACACTCCGATATTCTTCGAGATCCTCCTTGGTGAAGTCTAGCCCATGTATTATTCGCATCTGTTTAAGGAATGTACTCTTTCCACTTTCGCCAGCGCCCAGGAGTAATATTTTCACTAGTCTACGGTGGTGCGCTTTTTCCTTGGCAAGGGCACGGTCAATACGTTGGCTCTGTTGTCGTTTTTCTATTTCTTGAGGTGACATACAACATGTGAACACTTGGTCCGCCATGATGGAACTGTATCGATACCACGCCCATGACGTCACCAACCGGAAGTGGGCCTCATCAAGAGTTTCGCAGTGTCATCAGCGCAGATATCCGTTTTAAATAATATTTTGCGAAATCCAAGAGTTTATGAGTTTGTTATTTTCAATTTTTTTAATTCTCAGAATCACAGGCAAAATACAAAACATCGAAGTGTAATAATAATTTATAGACATGACTATTATTAAACTCGTAAAAATTCAAATAAATGAAAAAGAGCAAATACGGCACCTACACTTGTTTCCATGGAAACTGACTTTTTCATAGCGTTAAGAGCCGCCTGTAAAGTACATTAAACAAATAAAATACAAATTATTAAACTCCACACTTGCGACCTCTGCCACTTCAAAACAAACACAAAATTGCGATTCAAATGACAACCCAAAAAAAAATAACTAATTCAGTCACCAACAGTTTTTTTGGGGCACATTCAAACAACAACTTGGAAACAATTCAGTTAACTAAATCATAAGTGTAGTATATCCATGCCGACATATACAGGTGACATATTGTGTTAAGAGATTTATCTTTCCAAATGGCGACATCAAGATGAAATAAGTATGTGAGGCAATATTTAAAGTTGGTCATCAATCGAATGACAATGTTTATTGGTTTGTTATGTATTATCCAGGGCCTATTGTATTCTTTTAGTTTTATGTTTACGCGAAAACTAAAACGAAAACAAAACCAAAACAAAAGTCGATAATTGAATTAAATCTATGGCTATCTAGGTTAAGGGGTCAACGATTTGAATCTAGGTCGGGGATTTTTTTTCACACATTCATACATTTTATCTTCACCCACAACAATTCCAAAGTTGCCACTTTGTACGAAATATAAAAAAAAAAAACATTTGCTGACCCCTGATAGCATCATGAGGACTTTCGATTTTGCACAATTCTCGAGAAATTCCCATTAAACCAAATTCTAAAAACTAATTTAAATGTACCTAAAATAAAGTGGCCTTGAACGCCACGACCTTTGGGAAGGATATCTCCAGTGCTCCAATATTTCAGAATTTGTTGCCGAAGCATTAGATTTGCAACCAGTTTCTTGCTTGTCTTTTTATTTTATTTTAATTTTCAACGTAATAAAATATATTATTAAAGCCAGGCGGAATAACCGGATTTCGCGGTAACCCGGCTATCACAATTTACTACACTCATAATTTTATTGAAAAAATCGCCCAAAAAACGGAAACAAAAGACAAACAAACAAGAGACTGTATACAAGTCAAATCAAACATCTGATAATAGTAATAATATACTCAAATAAGAGTGTTTTTGACGTTCGTACGTCTCCTTCCTGTTATGGAATATTGCAATTTGCTCTTTACCGTGTTGAATTACAGCTAATAATAACAAAGGACTGGATGATTGGTTATGTCGTTACGGTTATACAAAGCTCTGGGTTATAATAAAATGACACTTTTTTCGGTGCTTAAATCAAACATAACTATATGGAAATAAGATCCTACTTTGTTTGTTTTTTCATTTATTTTAAGTATTTAGAAGCCTGCCCATATTTTTTGAAAACTTGGTCATGATAAATGGAATGAGAATGTTCATTGGTTTATTGTGTACGATTCATTACCTATTGCTGTGTCCTATTATACCATGACACTGCATTATTTTATTGCGTGTCACAGTGACGTTTTTTGAAAAACTTGTCCTAATATTTCTCATAAATCGATATTTTTAGAACAATTCCTTAGACTGAACACAATATACTTTTGAAGAAAAATTGCATTTTTTGACACTTCCAGATTTTTGAAATAATTCAGGACAACAAAAAAATATCCCACCATTAACAATTTATGATTTATGATCAGCCTATATCACCAGTTTACAATTTGAGATAAGGCATAAGATTCTGCCATAGGAACCTTTGGTAAAAACTAGCCACTAAAATACAACTATTTAGGCTGTTGGGCGTGACTCTCTTTGTATTGCCTTGGAGTGCAATTTATTGCAAAATAATAATTGTTGGGTATTTTGATTTATGAGTAGGCTTCTACCTTAATGCAGTTTGTATCAAATTTTGCTCAACTGCCATGAGTGAGCATGTTACTCCATGTATGTGCAATGCATTGTGGGAGATAACATCCCATTGTACATAATGGAAACTACTTGGAAACTCACTAAATCATGTAATTTTTTAAAATATGTCTTCACAATATTAATATTCATATCAATAATATATGGCTTTTCATCCTATGTCACTTTCGGTATTATTATGGCATGATCTCATAATAATGAAAGCATGGGGCGAACATGACATATAATGTCGGCTCAACCTCCTTAATTATTAAAAAATATATATATATAATTTTTTATAACATTGATACTATTACTTGTATATGCAAATTCAATGATACCCGAAAAACAAACTTTGATGCGCAATAATAACCCTTTCTTTCACCATCTCTGAGGGCGCTGTTCATAAGGGAAACCGACAGAAGCGGCAGTACGAAACTTGGCATATGGAGGGTCTGCATCTGGGCTTACATAAATTCTATGGTAATAGATGTATTACAATCAACACCAGAAAATGTTGAACATGTAATAATAAAAAAAAAGTATTAAACGAAGTAAATGTACAGCTAATTAATGAAGAGTTCAAGTGCAGTCGGTGTCAACAATTCATGAATATAATGGAATATTTACCGACTCCGGGGTAATTATATATTTCGTTATACTTAATAAATAAACACATTATACGTTAGAATTATTAGAACTAGACATTTATTTGTTTCTATTTTGAGTTTTGATAAACAATACAGCTCCCCAATAAAGAAATCCCTTGATTTTTGTAGATTCAAGGTGTCGACAGTGCCTTTGGCCCAAAGATTTTTTAAAACTTCTATGATTTATTCAAATGCTACAGTACCGCAACTATATTTTCGTTATAGATCGACAGTAAGGAGTTTTATTCACCGCCACGTGATCGCGTTCTTACCAATCGGTGTAACAATCTATATTATAATGCATGTTAAATAACAAAGTTAGGAAATCAATAAAAATTCTCAGAATTCCCCTTAAGCTTTAAGCCAAGAACTTGTTGTATTGCGTCCAAGTTGTACACGCCTTTTGTGTTGTCTGAGAGCAGATTCAAAGAAGTGAATTTCTTTTCTGGTTTTGTAATAATAGCTTTATAGAAAGCTCCAGAGCAATCTATTTGACTTAAATATACCACGCGAATATAATCACTCTGGGGCATATCCCGCAGTGTCGATGGATCGTCATCAAAACGAACCCAACCAATACGGAAGCAGATCACTTCAAGACCATAACGAGCTGCGAAGTGTTTGCAAAGCTCTTCTCCAGTAATCTTGCTAACACCGTATAAGGAATCCGCCAGTGTCATGTCTGTTTCTGTAAATTTCTTTTCTGCTGCGTTTGAGTTAATGCTCTCCGGAATACTGTAATCACCAATAACGTGCCCGTTCATGACATGGTTACTGCTGGCAAATATTATTTTTTTCACGTTGCTATGGACACACTCTTGTAACACATTGTAGGTTGCATGTACGTTATGTTTCACTACATCTTCCCATGATGCACTTGCATTGCTGACAGCAGCCAGATGTACCACGCAGTCCAATCCTTTGAATTTCTCCTTTACTTGATCGGGTTGGCTAAGGTCAACGCCGATAGATCCATCAATATCGTTATCTGTCATGGTGAAGTGTACGTACTCTAAGCGGCCGTCGTAATTTGGTAACATCTCTCGTAAAACCGTCCCAATGCAGCCAGCACTACCGGTTATACCAACCCGACGTATGTCATGATCGTGTTGGGGGACGTGGCGTAGTCTGTATTTCTTCATCATTGCAGACAGACTT